GAAATGCAGATCAAAACTACAATGAGATATCATCTCACCCCAACAAGGCTAGCATTAATCCAAAAAACACAAAATAACAAATGCTGGAGAGGTTGTGGAGAGACTGGAACACATACACACTGTTGGTGGGAATGTAAAATGGTACAACCACTTTAGAAATTGATTTGGTGTGCCCTTAAAAACTAGAAGTACCATACGATCCAGCTATCCCGCTCCTTGGAATATATCCTAGAGAAAGAAGAACTGTCACACGAATAGATATATGCACACCCATGTTCATCGCAGTACTGTTCACAATAGCCAAAAGATGGAAGCAACCTAAGTGCCCATCGATGGACGAATGGATAAACAAACTATAATATATCCACACAATGGAATATTATGCATCGATAAAGAACAATGATGAAGCTGTGAAACATCGTATAACTTGGTGAAAGCTGGAACTTATTACGCTGAGTGATTTTAGTCAGTCACAGAAGGACAAATACTGTATAAGACCACTAATATAAGAACTCAAGAAAAGGTTTAAACACAGAACAAAACATTCTTTGATGGTTATGGGGGCAGGGAAGGAGGGTGAGGGTTATTCACTAATTAGATAGTAGATGATAAGAATCATCTTAGGTGAAGGGAAGGACAGCACACACTACAGGGGAAGTCAGCACAACTGGACTAAACCAAAGCTAACAAGTTTCCTCAATACAATCAAATACTTCGAGAGACAGAGTAGCAGGGATGCGGGGTCTGGGGTCAATGCTTTCAAGGGACATCTATGTCAATTGGCGTAACAAACCTTATTAAGAACATGTTCTGCATCCTACTTTGGTGAATGGCGTCTGGGGTCTTAAAAGCTTGCAAGCATCCATCTAAGATGCATCAGATGGTCCCAACCACTTGGAGTAAAGGAGAATGAAGAACACCAAAGACACAAGGAAAGTATTGGCCCAAGAGACAGAAAGGGCCACATAAACCAGAGACTTCATCAGCCTGAGACCAGAAGAACTAGATGGTGACCAGCTACCACCAATGAACGTCCTGACAGGGAACACAACAGAGGGTCCCTGATGGAGCAGTAGAATGATGGGATGCAGAAGTCAAATTCTAGTAAGAAGACCAGACATAATGTTCTAAGACAGGAGGCACCCCAGAAAGCATGGCCCCTGATCTCTCCATCACCCCAGAACTAAAGCAATTTCCAAGGCCAACTCTTCAGACAGGGATTGGACTGGACTGTGGGACATAAAATGATACTTGTGAAGAATGTGCCTCTTAGACAAGTAGATACAAGAGACCAAAGGGGCGGCTTCTGTCCAGAGGTGAGATGGAAAGGCAGAGAGATTTAGGAGTTGGTTGAATGTTCATGGGGAATCAGGGGCGGAGGGGAGAAGTCTGTCGCAGAATGGGGTGAGCAGTTGGGGTCTCATAACAATGTATGTAAAAAAAAAAAAAAAAAAGGTGTCAGTTGCACAGAAACCTCAGTCTCCTGATGTAATGTAGTGTGCTTTCTGTCTTTTCCCATAAATAATTTCCTAACATATGCACACAGCCACAAAATCAGGGCTGAATACCTCTCTGTGAAATACAGATTGAAAGCTAATTAGATTTGAAGTCTCTCCTTGAATTCTATTCTAGAGCTTGGAGTCCTCTTCCAAGCCCACTGGCAAAACCAGTTCCTGTGTTTGTGAGAATGAGGATCCATTTCCTAGCTGACTGTCAGCTCTCAGCTCCTAGTAACCAGCCTTATTCCTTGCCACCTGACCTCTTCCATCTTCAAAACCAGCATCCGAGAATCTCTCCCATGCCATATACTGCTCATGTTTTGAATCTCTGTGACTACTCTCTCTGTCCACTAGACCCAGATTTAAAGGGCTCGTGTGATTAGGTCATGCCCATTCTGATTATTTCCCTATCTTAAGGTCAATTAAACAGCTGCAAAATCTTTTCAGAGCAGAACTTAAATTACTGTTTCATTGACTAGTTGGCAGAAATTGTGCGTACACCATGGGCCAGGAATCTTGTAGGCCATTTTAGAATTCTGCCAAAAACAATAACCTGGTTTATTATTTACTAAATTTTGACAGGTCCCTTCCATATCTTAGCCATGAGTCACTTGTCTCAACAATTTCACTTTCCTAAATTATATGATTTCAGATAAAGAGTGGCTAGAAGAGCTAACTTCCTAGCTGGCACAGAATTGATGATGGCTTCCATACTTTCCTTTTCCTGGCAGTTGAAGGCATATCACATACCCTAGAAAATATTTGATAAAAACAGGAATTAATTCTCACCATTTTCCCATGCATTCTCATTGTACTTAGTATAAACCCAAACTCACCACCAGACCTCCAAGGTCCCCTATGATCAGTCCCTTGTCCTTCTCCACGCACTTTTTCCTTTGTCTTCCTCAAACATACCAAGTCCATTTTTCTCCCAGGTCCTGTGCCTCTTCTGAAGTGCTCTTCCCTGAGCTTTGCATGGCTAATTCCTGTCTGTATTCAGGCAACAGCTCAATAGTTCCCTCCTCAGAACAGCTATTCGTGTCCCCTACATTTTATGTGGACTGCCCTAACCCAGTCATTCTCTATCTCATGTCTTGTTTTATTATCCTGTCATTCATGACTGCCTGAAATTTGTGAGTGTTCTGTAATGATGAGAAAGGGATTCTACTCTATTGAAGCAGAAAAAGATTCGCGTTAGGAAGTAGCAAGTATAATCGTCAGGCTGGTAAGCTTAAGAATGTAGGTATATGTAAATATAACTTTACGGAGAGCAGACAAAACAGGAGGGTGGTAAGGGCAAAATCGTAGAATGTATTGTCATTTGGTAAACCCAGATATGTGGTTGGCCAAGAACATGGTGGGCATTTATTTGATTGAGTAGGAATTCCTGGGGGACATAGGTCTGTGCCAGCACCATTCCTAGTTTCCTGGTAATGGAACATTCATGTACGGTATTTATTTCATGAGGAGAAAAACCACAGAAAAGTGAACTTATTATTAATTAGCATTGGAACAACACATGCTTAGGGAGATGCTCTTGGAAGAATTAAAAAGATTTCTTTGCAGTAAAAGTTGAAATCCTGAGAGACAAAGAATTTTGTTACCTTTAAAAATGTTCATATACCGCGTGTTGTTCTCTGGTCCACTCACTGTGCTCAGACACTGACTGGACCTGGACACACATTGCCCCATTTACCCTGAGAAGTAGCATCGCTACAGAGGTGCAAGGTGGGAGCCGCTGCTGAAATATTCTATTGCTTGTTATCTGCCCCTCCCAATAAAATGAAAGCTTTATGAAGGAAGGGCTCTGTTTGATTTGTTCATAACTTAATGTCCTATTCCTAGAAGAGTCATGATCCTGCTACTTGTGTATTTCTATCAATATTTTAGATTTTGTGTAGGAATAAAGGAAGAACTGCTCTATCAGAACTTGGGAGCTGAAGTTATTTCACCTATTACCTCCAGGGGAAGCTGTGACTCCTTAGGTCTGTTAGTGACAAAGGGATTTGAGAGGATGTTATGGATTGAATTGTGTCACCCCAAAATTTGTGTTGGAGTCTTGACCTCTATAAATGTGGATGTAATCCTGTTTGGAAACAGGGCTCTCTTTGTTATGTTAATGAGGCCATTATCAGTGTTCTAAACCTAATCACTTCTGAATGATATGAAGAACAGCATACACATGGAGACTAGCAAGCATGGGAAGATTGCCAAGGAACTGGGATGACATAAACTGAAAGACACAAGATCTAGGGATATTCCCCTAAAGCCCACAGACACAGAGCTTTCTCCTATAGTCAATGCCGTGAATTCCAACTTTGAGCCTCCTAAACTATGAGAAAATCAACTCTGTTCACTAAAATCACTCACTTGTATTTCTGTTACAGCAGCACTAGGAAACTGAAAAAGACAACTTAAAATGTTTTTTGAAAAACTGATTGACTTAATAGGCAGTGCCAGGGCGATTTGTAAGTATCTTGTGTCTCATTTTCTGGGATAGTGTTGCGTTCAGGCAAATATCAGAGGTCTGGTTTTGTACACGTTGAGGTGCCTGTGAGATTTCCTAGATTAACTTCAACTATGAATGTAAAATTCAGAAGAGTGTTTGAGATAGAGATATAAATTTGTGCATTATATTTTCATTCTCTCTATTGACATAAATATATTCCATGTTGTTATTTGTTGTTGTCAGATGCCGTTGAGTTGATTCTGACTCATCGTGATCCTATAGGACAGAGTATACCAGTCCCATAGGGTTTCCAAGACTGTAATGTTTACAGCAGCAGATCACCAGATCTTGTCTCCCATGGAGTCGCTGGTGGCTTCTTGTACTATCTTTATGTTTCAAGTAAGTTCTGAAATTATATATTAGCAAACACCTATATTCTATTACAAAAAATCATTTATGTTTTTAAATTGATTTTAGCTGGTTTCAAAGAAGAGAGTTGATACTAAGAATATTTTACATTTTGAAATTTTGCCAAATTTTGTTAAAAATTATAAACTTAAGGAGGTTTCCGGGCCTTTTGCAGGCAGACAATTACATTTTCTGTGGTAATGATATTTTCATCTCCTTTTCCATTATTTGTCTTTACAACTCACTGCTCAGGCAATTTTGCTTTCATACCCTCTGGTGCTTTCCATAGGCTCCTCAGGTACTAGGCCGGCTGCTCAGAGCTCTATTAATTGTGCTTCCCTAGCTGTGGGGCCTGAGTCCTTCAGACAGATGAGAGGCAGCAAGATGGTGTCACACCCCTACTCCCTATCTTCCTGGGGCTCTGCGTCTCAGGTTAGAAGTTGAGAAGAGTAATACCTTTATAAAGTTGGAAGAATTAATTTTGCATGCAGAATAAAAAAAGATCCTTTAATGTAAAACAGATAGGATTATTTAAGATACTTAAAAATCTATATTTTAGATATATTTGAATACATCTAGTACAATGTACAATTATTGTCCATTCTTTTCCCAGGTGCCAGCAGGGACATTATGATGACTCAGTCTAAAGATTTCCTAGCTGAATCTCCAGGAGAAACAATCACCATCAACTGCAAGTCTAGTGAAAGCCTTTTCTACAGCCCCAACCAGAAAAACTACTTAGCCTGGTACCAGCAGAAACCAGGACGGCCTCCTAAACTGTTCATCTCCTGGACTTTCCACCCAGGCATCTCGGATCCCCGATTGGTTCAGTGGCTGTGGGTCTGGAACAGAATTCACTGTCACTCTCAGCGGCCTCCAGGCTGAGGACGTGGAGATTTATTACTGTGAACAGAATTAAAGCACTCCTCCTGCAGTGCTCCAGCCTTGGACACAAACCTCTTCCCCAGGGCTATGGATCAGTGAGTCTTTGCTGCACCAGCTGCTTCTTTCTGCTCAGCCCTGTTTCCCCCTTTGCTGTCTGAGAGGCCATGTCTCCTGGCTAAATCATGGAGGAATGTATAAGTCTCAAGGGAAGATTAACCTCTCCCATGTCCCTTGTACAAAGTAGTCATTCTCTAAAGACTCTGTAATGACCTCTTGCAGACTTCTCTACTTTGTTCAAGATTTTTTGCATCTCTTACAACTGTGTTGACCATACAGATAGATTCACATGACTGAATCAATCACGGGTTCAACTATGTCAAGTGGAGAAGGGTCTGGAGTCCTTTACACCCCCATGATTCAACTGTCTCGTCACTGTGCCTGATGACACTGAACTTGTCCATTTCACTCCTTTGCTGTATCACCGAGTTCCTACCACTCTCACACTTTGGGAGTGTCTTACTTTCCTAGGGCTACCATAACAAAATACCACAAAGTGGGGGCCTTGGCTTGGTAACATATAAAAGACTATATAAAAGACACTTTTTCAGATGATGAAAATGATTACATGAAGTACCATATGACTGCACTTAAAAAAAATCTCTCTGCCAAATAGTACCTACTCTTCAAGGGTGAATGCCCGTTATGGGCTTGAAAGGAGTCCATGGGTGTTGCAAATGGTTAAGCACCTGGTGGTTGGTTTCTCAAGTCCACCCATAGGTACCTCAGAAGAAAGGCCTGGTGATCTACATCTGAAAGATTAAAAAATCAAATCTATAGCCTCTAATTCGATTATGATTCATGGTGACCCCATGTGTTACAGAGCAGAATTGCTCCATAGGATTTTCTTGGTTGTAATCATCATGGAAGCAAATAGCCAGGCTCTTCTTCCACAGCCTTAGACAGTGGGTTTGAACCACCAATCTTTAGCTTAGAATTTGTGTCACCAAGGACGTTACTGAAAGATTACTGTCATTGAAAATCCTATGGAGGGCAGTCCTACTCTGACATACATGAGGTCACTATGAGTCAAGATCGAGTTGATGGCAGTTGGTTTGTTGTTGATTTTTGTTTGTTTCTGTATGTGCTTATAAGTGCTCTACATTTACAACTTTCTGTTTTCTTGGGTTATGACACCAGTTATTCGATTTTCTTTTTCTCTCTAACTGCTACTTTTTCTTCTGTAACTTGTTATTATGGTGAATTATATTGATTGATTTTTGAATATTTAACAACCCTTGCATTCCAGAATTAACCCCGCTTGGTTAGAATATATTTGCCTTTTTTACATATTGATGGATTCTTTTTGCTAATTTTTTTTAAGGATTTTTGCATCTGTGCTCAAGGAAGGATATCAGTTTATAGTTTTATTTTCTCTTACATTCCTTGCTTTTGTTTAAGGGTAATCTGGTCTCATAAAATGAGTTGGAAAGTATTTTTGCTTCCTCTAATTTCTGAGAGAGATTGTGTATAACTGGTATAATTTCTTTCTTAAATATTTGGGAAAATTTGCCTGTAAAACCATCGAGACCTGGAGTTTACTTTTTTTTTTTTTTTTTTATCCCCTCCCTTAAAGATTTTCAATTATGGTTTCAATCTCTTAAATAGATACAGAATAATTTCAATTGTGCATTTCTTCTTGAGTAAGTATTGCTGGTTTACATCTTTCAGGGAGTTTGTACATTTCATCTAAGTTGTCCACTATATGGCCATAGAGTTAATCCTAGCATTCCCCTACTATCATTTTAATGTCAGTAGGGCCCACACTTATAGCCTTTCTTTTGTTCCTGATATAGGCAATTTGTATTTTCTCCTTTTTTAGTTGGTCACTCTGGCTAGAAATTTACCAATTTTATTAATCATTTCAAAAAATCAGTTTTGGTCTCATTGATTTTTCACTATTGTTTTACTAATCGCAATTTCATAGATTTTTTTCCTCTTATCCTTCATTTATTTGCCTTACATTATATTTGCATTTCTTTTTTCTAGTTTCCTAAGGTTGAACTAAAGTTACTGATTTGAAAACTTTTTGTTTTCTAATATTTAATGCTATCACGTTTACCATCTAAGTTCTTCTTTGGCTGCAGTTTACAAATTTTGAAACATTATGTTTTCATTTTTATTCGAGTTAAAATATATATATTTTTATTTCCATTGAGGCTTCCTTTTTGATGCATGGGGTATTTGGAAATGAGTTGTGTAATCTCCAAATATTCAAGAATTTTCCAGATACATTTCTAACATTTCATTTTTAGTTTAATTCTGTTATGGTCAGAGAATATTCACTATAAATTTCAATTTTTTGAAATTTGTTAACATTTGTTTTCTGGCCCAGAATATGGTCTATCTTGGTAAATGTTCCCTATGCACTTGAACACAAAGTCTACTGTGCTGTTTTTTTTTTTTTTTTTCGTGAACATTATTTTCATATCAATTAATCAAGCTTGTTGATATTGCAGTTTGAGTCTTTTATATCCTTACTTATTTTTTGTCTACATTTTCTATCATTTACTAAGAGAAGAATTTTTAAGTCTTCATATACAATTGTGGATTTATCTGTTTTTTTTTGTTTTTTTTTTTTCTCTCTCCCTCAGTTCCATCAGTTTTTGCTTTATACTTTTGAAGCTCTGTTTGCTAAATACATACACCTTTAGAATTATTAAGTCTTCCTGGTGATCTTGATTAGTATTTTCATGGTATATATTTTTCCAAAGTTCAATTTTCAAAGCTTTGTGCTCAGGTGAAAGTGACAGTGAGCATCAGTCTGACTAGAGAACAGGGTCTGTTTGGAGGAGCAGTGAGATGGGCAATGGGGAAATGAGGTTGGGTTTGATGGGAGAGGGCCAGCCTGTGGCTGCAAATAGCCTAGACCTGCATCCCAAAGTTAGGGGTTGAGAGGGGAGCAAAAAAAGTGGCTAAAAAAAGTGGAGAAGGAGCTGTACAGGGGATAGTCAGGAGAGGGATACTGAGGTAGAAAGAACAAATCTATCTTGTATGGAATCCCGGCTTCCTCCTCTCTACCTGTTTTTGGTCTAGTTGCTCCTATATCTTTGAAGTTTTTTTAAATGTAAAATATGTTAGACGGAGGAGAGGAAGGAAAGGACACAGAAGCGTTCCAGGCAGTCCGTGCCCAGTGCTGTTATCCTATTTTTCACTAGGAAGTGTAAAGAATATGCTCAGCTGTTTCTGTCAGAGGAACTCCTGAGGGAGGAGTAGATGCGGCAGCTTTAACCTGTGAGCAGGTGCTGGTGGGCAGTTAGTGTTTGGGGCTCAATCACTGTGGGCAGATGCTTCAGTGTTTGAGAACAGTAATAGGCTGTAATGTTCTCAGACTCCAGGCTGCTGATGGTGAGAGGGAAGTTGGCCCCAGACCCACTGCCACTGAACATGTTGGGCCCCCCATCAACATGGGTGGAGATGTGGTAAATGAGGCCTTGAGGAGCCTACCCAGGTTTATGCTGGTACCAGGCTAAGTAGTGCACAGGAGGCTCAGACTGGCTGTGAGCTGATAGAGACTCTCTCTCTCCCAGGGAAACAGCCAGGGATTCTGGCTTGTGAGTGAGAGTGATCTCCTCAGTGGAACCTGCAACAATAGGCACAAGGGGATGCATCCAGAGATGCTGAGCTTTTCGTTAAGGCTGGAATGTGCTTCCAACTAATGGGCAGACCAAAACCAGGCCTGTGCTGGTAGGGGCACTATTTCCTGTCACATCCCGACACCAGTCTTCTAAGGCAGTGGGAGGATCACTCCAGAAGGAACACTTCACTTGGGGACATTCTCTTATCTGGAACACAGAGGGGCCAGAGCCTGAGGATTTGGGATGGTTACACCATCTTGCTGCCTTTCATTGTCCTGAGGCTGCTCTGATCTTGTCCCTAGTAAAGGCATATTTTTATTAACCTCTGACCACAGGGCTGACCCTGTGGTGGGAGCATATGAGAAGGTGGATGCAAATTCTCATGAAGGATGAAGTCAGAGCTGTTGGAACCAAGGCTTCTTTCAGTGACACCTCATCAATATAAAATTATAGTGATAGGATTTACAGCACATAGAAAATCACATCAGATAACAAAATGGTAGGCAAGCATACAATACGGAGAATCATGACTTAGCCAAGTTGACAGACATTTTGTGGGACACAATTCAATCCATGACATTCCTAGTTAGAGAAGACAGCAAATTTCTGAGGCAAAAATGTAACCAGCATACAGGGAGAGAAGCAAGGAAGCCAGTGTTGCTGGAGTGGAGTTGTGAGGAGGAGATTAGTGGGACATAAGGTCAAAGAAATAATGAGGGAGCTTTATTTTGTAGGATTTTGCAGGCTACTGTAAGATTTGGGTTTTATTTTGAATTGTGATAATAACTGGAGAGTTTTCAATAGATAATATGATTTAATTTGTAGGTTAACAGTACAAAAGAGATACCGATTAGGAAGCCATTGCTCTCATCCTGGCTAAGACAATCATTGCTTTGGTGGATATTGGTAACAGTGGAGAGGGTGAAGAGAAGTCTATTTTGAAAACAGAGATAACAATATGCTGATGGTTTTGACAAGGAGTATGAGATGAAAATCAGGTCTTAAAATGAATCCAAGGTTTTACTTTGAGTAACCAGAATGGTGGACTTGACATTTATTTAGATAGGGAACACTGTACGAGGAGTGTATTTGGGAATGAAGATTAGTATTTTTGTTTTGAACTTTTTAAGTTTGAGATGTGTATTAGACCTGCATGTGTGGCTGTCAAGTAGTTCATCATTCAGGGAACAGATATGAGGTCGACATTCAGGGAACAGATATGGACTGGAGACTTAAATCTGATAAATGATAAAATGAGCTTTGAACAGAGGGAGAACAGGAGAGGCCTGGGGACTGAGCTCTGAGACAGGAGAGATGACGTGAAACCAGCAAAGGAGTCTGAGAAAGAGCAGTGAGGATGGACGA